CATGATAGTATGACATCAGCACACACAATTATGAAAATCCTACATGATATAGCGGCAATATCTCATTATAAAATGACACAAATGCAACATTTTATAACAAAAAAACGTTTTGATACATGTATAAAAACAAAAACGAGCATGGTATCATAAAAACAGATAATATACGGGAGAAAGCACATATCATTACGCCAAAAACATCAAATTATAATGTTTCATAACACAGCGGCATAACATGTCTCAATTAGTGAATAATATGCTGGTTGGTTGAAATGATGTCACATGGCATTGCTCTTAATATTATCACACTTAACTCGGTCGTTAGTGATTGACGTCGTTGTCTGCAATGCGACTATTGGAAAGTTTGTTTCTCATAATTGATATATATTTACATTTCATAAGAAAGAAACTAACGTCATTCAACTGTAAAATGGTAAACCATCATAATTTGACTGACCGCTCCGAGCATGAAACATTTTAGAAGACAACATGATCGTAGAATAGACTTCGAAATAAACATGATATGGCGTAACGAATTGATGACGTCACATTTATATCAGATGTTGAATGCTGTTATAACAGGTGTTGATAACGCGGTAAGCACGTGGAAATATTTATAAATTTACTTCAAACAAGTTCCTTCGCACGTCAGACCGACCACGAAAACAAATACCTCAAGGTAACGTTTAACTGAATTAAAGAAATGTCAAATTCAAAACATATTATATAAACAGTAACTTAGTTTCTACGTGGATGTTCGCGACCGTTCTAACTGAAAACAGCTGTATCGACAGATTTAATAAATATCTTCCGAGCACTTGGCCGATGCTGGTTTAGATAGGAGATATGATATGGTTCTAGTTTGTTCTCAATACGTTTCCGAATTCTAATTTTAACCATCAAGGCCGCCGTGGTCGTGTTAATAATGCAAGGTATCGTACCAAAATTTCAAATTCAGAAGTACCTTGAACTAATTTGGCAACGTACTGAACAGCATTTAGATGGTCTTATCAGCGGTACTCAAGGGAATTTATCAGAAATTGTCAGAAACACGGGTTACAATTTGGCGATGTTATCAGTCTGTACTCTGTCTATCAGATACTGTATCGCAACATGTGTTTATTGCCTCGATAACCACGCAATCAGTGCCAATTCGTTTTACAGAAAACTAAAAACGTCAGTTTGTACACACAAAATGTCGGTTTTCCGTCACCGTTTTGACAACACGTTGATAGGTAGGAGCGGACTCAGAAGACTGCCATGACGTTACCGATAAACCAGGATAATAATCAAAACTTTGCACAAGCACAGAAATGTTTGGTCTATTTACAACAAATGTAAACTGAGCTTGACATATTGAAGGCCAGGGTTAATAAGTAACCGGAGAAGACAGCATGTTTCTGCGTTGTTTGCAAATTGACAAATTCTACGGTCGTCGGTTGAGGATTTGGACGAGTGATTGGTCTTTCGCTTTATCAAAATAAGTTACAGTAACTGTTTCGATGAAGTGATGAAGACTTTATATGTAAGTCAGCCTTCTTCAAGTTCGCAATTAAGTGTCTGTGGGTTTTAATCCGGATGGCAACAATCAATGACGTTGGCTATATGCAGACATCTATAAAATGACGTTTTTCCTCTCAAATATTATTCGATTTTTATTTATCTTAATCACGTACGCTGATTTGTATTATTTCAAAGGCGAGGCTGATTCAGTTGCGCACTTCTTTTGAAAATATAATCTCATTCCTATTAATATTTCAATATCACATAGTAGACGTCAACAATCTGTAACGCATTTCCTTTGGAGAGAATATTAATTTCGTTCATCCCCGAACCTCTCACTATAGAAGTTAATATTCAGTAACACCTTTTCTTTCGTAGAGATTATTTCTTTTAATTCATCATGTAAACTAGCACTGAAGAGGCTCATGTTTAGAAAAGTTATTTCCTGTGAAAGTATTACTTAATCCTAAAAAGTTGCAATACGAATGCTAATACAAATAAAACAAATAACTTGTTTTTGACATAATTGATACATATTTAACATGGAGGCTAGAATAAGAAGCATCATTTTTCTATTTTGCGATAACATGTAATTAGTTAAATCAATTCGAGAAAAAGGATTATTTAGAGCAAATCAACAATTTAAAAGTATCAATTTACAGTAATTTATCGGCAGCAAAACAAAGGATGTCAGTGTAACGAACACAGGTCATCATTCATCTGGGGGAACATCTCATTAATTTCACCAACGCATGATCATAATTGTGTGCTCGGAAAAATCCATCAGTCAGTATATCCCATGACCAGACGAAATATGGTAGAGCGCCAGATAGCCCTTAGCACCGATAATCTTATAATGGCCCACATTCATTCTTTAAGCATCAGAAAACTGGCATTTTTTATATCATTCTATTCAATTGGACATCTTGACATTTTAGGTATGGTTTAATTCTTCTGGCAATTTCTATGCTGCCATTTTTATTTTTATTCAGCAAAGCGCTATCGAAGAAAGATCACTTTTGCGCCTCGATCGTGATAAAGCTTTGAGGTATTTTTTTCACATGCTGGATAATGACGTCTTTTGTGTTTTACGCATGACTAGCAATATTTTCACTTCTTAAAGGTTACCCCGATACGCAGTTATTTCACAATCCCCATTATTTGTTATGAGGATACTTAAGTAAATCATTAAAATACACCAATCAATATCGTGAATTATCCACACATATACATATAAGGGCTGGATCATTGTATGTTCAGTTAGGAATAGCGTTATTACCCACTGTGACTTACTCGTATTACCAACCTAGTACAGTAAAACCTCGATATAACACTCCTTACTTTATTTGCTGCCTAACTCAGCCCCAATGTATTTTAAATGTTTTTATTTTTTTATTTTCGTGTTTTAAAATCAATTTCTTTATACAATTTACGTTTCCCTCGATGTATCGTTAGACCCCTTTATAACGCCGACATCGAACAGGACTAATGGTTGCAGTATAGCGATGTTTTACGGTATTGTGACACATTTTGTTTAAACTCCACTGACATGAACAGTTTAACCAATATAAACTAAGAAACCATTTTATTTCAAAATAAGCACCATCAAAGTTGTTTTTTGCTTTACATACAATATATAGCTAACGGATAAAACTCATCGGCAATCGGACGTCGATAAATTTTACCTATTTCTAGGGTTTGGCCAATGATCACACATTCATCAATATGCTATATAACAACACTTTGTTGTGTCAGACTAATATTGAATGCATATTATAGCATTGCTCTCCGATTTGGACGCTATTAGTGGATCTTACCTGTAAAACAGCGCATTTGATTGGATTATATTGATCACATGACTTTTTAAAAATGTGATATGTCCCTAGCAAATTTCTCTTTTTTATTTTTTTATCAATGATGTTTGATTTGGGCTTTACTAACATCAAAGATTTTGCATCTTAGAAAAACAAACAAGGATGAATTCATTTCACAAGGTTAGAAAATACCCAGGTGTGGAGATATTGTCAATAATAAAGAATGTATTATGAAGATGAAATTTACTTTATAAGAACTAATTCATTCCTATACATATTGACAAGTGCTAACTAGCGGCTTTAGCCTGTTAGTGTTGGCCTCCGATCCCTCAAGATACCAATGCGTGTATGGTACTCCAGTTATTCTTTAATATTGTGACTGGCCATCGTAACCTGTACAATCCTTACAATGTGTTAACACTACAACTTGATATAAACAATCTGGTGATATTTATTTTTACACCGTTTTTCATTTAACAATTGGCATGCCTTATCGTTCATTAGGACAGGAATCGTTAGAATAGAAGTTTAATAAAATAATCCTGATATACTTTGGTTTAACGTGTGACTACACGGCATGCATAGTACAAATCACATAAGCATCTTTTATATATAATAATTAGCGACATTGGTTTAATAGCAATGGATTTTCAATGTAAATATTTGTGTAACGTTTTGCTTTTTTAAAGTATACTTATTATAAGGAATGGTTCAAACAAAAATTGTTTATACTCAAAATAATCAAATACTGCTCGAGTGAAAATACATTCTATGTATATTTAATGAAAACTTACACAAACCAAATCGTAAAATGGTGTACAGTTTTTAATGGTTTTGAGCAATATGGAAATTACAGGGGGAACGTAAGATTAAATTTTGTTTATAACTCACCATGAAACAAATAAGCGGCTTGTATAATCACACACGATATCTTTAAAACTTCATATGTGAAAATATACTTGAAGACTGGGTTTTCATTTCACAATTTTGTCATTTGACAAGCGTATATACCCACAATGAAATAGCACAAACACACTGTTGGGATAAAATCCCGGAACGGAATAAGAAATACATGTTTTACGTTTTTTCGTTACACGCTCCGCCCAGGATGCTTACAACCGTCAAGATTGATCCCGCTAACTATCAGTTTACAACCCTTGGCACAAAGGTCTTATACGTTAATCAATAAACCATCGATAGTTTTGAAATTTATTTTTAATTACTTTCATATATTGACATGTTTCATACACTCCCAGTTTATTTAAACTCATATAATAGTCTACTTATTGTTCAACAAATGAGATGAACGACGCAATTCAATCCACAGTCTCGATTTATGTGTTTTTGCTTGAAGATAAACAACAAGGCCAATATTATATAAGTTGTGTATCACTTCATAGAATGGTCCTACATGTCCAAACTGTCAAGCGTTTTTTTTTTTTTTACAAAATTCCAGATAAAACTCACAGTGCTACCTTTGTCGGGAGTTCTCTGTAATACAAACTTTCCATGATAACATGGCCTGATGATTAATGATTGTGAAACCCTGAATACCAAAACGTTCATGACGATAAAACAACACTAATAAAAACGCAAGTTTATAGAAAATTACCAAACATATTTAGTTTACGCAAACTCCATTGCGACTAATACATGTATCTTATACATACGGAATAGAAAGCTTACCTCTTTTATTCCATATTCCGCGGCAAATGTGGTGTTTATGAAAGCATCCACCATCACAACAAACTGCAGAATCACCAGTTCGTAACACGGTACACCCAAACAGTACATACTATGGTCGGCGCGCGAGTGTTATATGGCTTAACGGCACCCCCTACAGACGTATAAAATCAAACTGGAGTGCGCTGTCCTCAGAAATGTTGCTGCAGCAGTGGAACATAGAGGTGACAAACAACATCCGTTATGTTTTCCGCAAACATGTCCTAATATAGATAGCTTTCGATCACGTGAACGTTTTCCTGAAATCACGTAAAAGCTTGTTAGCAGTCCAGTCCATTGTAGTTTATTCGGTCCTTAACAATTAATGTACACATTGATGAGATGCTAAAAGGTGCCTCGCTTTATAATCTGTGGTGAATATTATGTACTCATTATCAATACTTTTAACAAGTCCGCGTGCTGCAATGCCGATACTACATTTATAGATATTCTATACTTTATATCATATATATAATTGACGGGTCATTTCAGCGGAACAGAAACCTGTTGCTTTAACTTGTTTCGATTGTTTTAGTGTTCCTGTTAAGATGATACCACGCTAAATACCGAGGAACGCTGACGTGAAGCGGGTTTCGATCACATTACCATCAAGTGTTCAGTACAAGCGTGGTAGACTTATATATATAAAGGTCGAACTGGCCATTGAAGTAGTTGTTGGTACCACATAATTCACAGCAATTAAATAGCTTGACGTACAGCGATATTAAACGAGATTACGTCTGTATCTGACGGGTAGTGAGACATCCTTTTGATACGTACATGTATACCGGACTATCGTCATAGCTCATGCAGAGCACGTGCTGTCGGCAGAGGGTTTCATGTACCGATCCATTTATGAGAGAGATATCGTATCATAGTAAGCCTTCTGAAGCTCCCTTTTCATCTTGTATACAACTATTACTACTCTCACGTGAATGACAATTGTTATCAAAAGAGTGAAAGAATATTTTATATCAATGGAACGGTAAATCTTGTTAATTTATCGAATAACATTTAAAAATGTTAAAATTAAAATAGAAACGCTCGATGTATGTATTTCAAATTAAAGTATATATCGTCCGGAATTTTCATATATGTAGGACATAGCGGGCAAAGGAAGTACTGTAACAACAGTTATCACATTCCTGTTGAATCTTGTTATAATAATACAAGCAATTTTCAGACCATGAAATACAACGTTCTGTATTGCACATGTGCAATACGGAATGTTGTATTTACCTACTAGCCAGGACTACTTTTTATGGGAATCTCCTTGTCATGGCGAATTGAAAAGTTCCCAGTATTTGCAAAAAATATCAAAGATTATAAAATCTTTGTATCGATCTCTACCGAATACGGAAAATGTGATAAAAGCAAGACCACACACTTTTGTTTTTCTAACGAATCAGAAAGCACTCATTTATTGCGCGGACGTATATATTCACTCGTGAATATATTTGTCCGCGCAATAAATAAGTGCTTATTGAATCGTTAGAAAATCACAAGTTTGTGGTCTTGCGTATTTGTCATTTCGTTTTTCGGCAATGCGATTTGAAATGTCTTGACTGAGTGGTATTGTATACCAATAATCCTATATTGTCTGTGTTTCGGACACTGACCTCTCGTAGTGTTGCTTAAGATAGATGACATAGCAAGGCATATCAAGTAACAAACCTGTCATCCTCGGCTGGGATTTATATCTCTACATGTTCCGGGGATGAGAGATCCGGATGTAAAATAGTCTACAACATTGTTTATATTGTCAAAACTCACAGCTGGTAAGAAAAATACGCAAGGACGGAAATCATCCACAAGATCAAGTTGTCGGTCGATGATCGTCTTGTTTTATTTATATATGGTAGACTTATTGTGTTTGATATGGTTTGGCACGATTTAGAGGCTGTTTTACGCCATTTAGCTCACATTAGCATTATTTGCAGTCAGATAAGTATTATGCATGGAGCGTTATCATAGCACGCCACAGACAACATACAGCTTTATGCTTTTAGTTCTGATGAAGAAGTCTTTTGAAGGATTTTACATAGTAATTTTACTCAAGAAAAAACTGTAATATAGGCCATGAACGCAAAGCAAGAAATAAAAATCAGCGAGCAATTACAACTATTAAGCTTTTTTAACAAAGTTGTGAAATGAACTGATAATCCATGGATACATTATAAAAAAAGACAATACCGTAGTGATGACAAAATAATGATTTGGACTCAAAATCAATAAAACTAGGACAGACTCTTGTATATCAATACAAAGATAATTAAGACCAGGAGTTCCGAAGGGGATCTGCGCCTTTTGCTTCATTGACGAAACCCTCCATGTGGAACTAAGTACAAGCCTTGTAATGTCACGTCCTCATATCAAGAATTAAGTTATTACAGCAAAACAATTACCTACACTAATGAGTATGGCAAAAATATCTACCGTCATCAGCAGACTAGTCAATGTATAACTGATCTTCATATATAAACGTGAAATGCTATCTTGGGAAGTATGGCGGTGAAAGGTTTTGTGAAAATGACCCTGTCGGTATTTGTAACTGCCTTGGACACATAGTTTGTTTTGTGTATTTGTGTTATACGTCCTATTAACAGTTATGGTCATTTAAGGACGTGCCAGGTTTCGGTGGTGGAGGAAAGCCGGAGTTCCCGGAGAAAAACCACCGACCAACGGCCATTACCTGGCGACTGCCCCAGGTAGGCCTCGAACCCGTGACCAAGAATTGGAGGGCTAGTAGAAGCAGAATGTCAGACGCCTTAACCACTTGGCCACTGCAGCCCCTGGTGATTTTGTCACAGAGACGTTATGTTTACTCTCCTGAATAATATATAAACATAAGTATATGATTATAAAGATATGATTAACAAACAAACATCCTATTCGGGTACCTAAAACGATGACACCGAATAGTACATAAAACGATGACACCGAATAGTACATAAAACGATGACACCGGATAGTACATAAAACGATCACACCGAATAGGTCAGAGGTGTTATCATTACAATTGTGAACTACATTGTAGCACTCATAACATGATACATGAAAATATCAATAACAGCCTTCGCATATATCTACAGATACGCACCTGAGTATGTTGGTTCTAATTAAAATAGGGCTTACACAGCAGATCAGATCACCGGCCAACGTTTGTTATTGAAATGTCTCCTGTTTTGTTATCCCCAATCTGATTTGAATAACATATAGAAACTATTTATATCGTGTAAACAGAATGCCCGATTGTGCCTAATATATACAAAATGCAGATTGATGTTGAAATTTTCTATATTTTCCATATTTCCCCTTCTAGTAGGTTTATGCTTGGTTTAAATTGTATTTATTCGTGTAATGAAATACATTGTAAGAATAATACACATTACCTAAGCAAACATGATGAGGAAACAAGTACTCTGCACTTATATAAATTTTTATCTTCTTCTAACAAACTACTAGCCTTATTCCGTCTTTGCGTATTGCAGAGTCATCTGCTCTTGTGAGCAGGTATTGATTGTTACGTCATTTGTTTGTGAGATTAACGTCATCAATTTGTGAGAAAACGACGTAATTTTCTCACACAAACCAATGACGTAACAATCAATACCTCCTCACAAGAGAAGATAACTCTGCAATACGCAAAGACGGAATAGATGACTTACTGGGTTCATACTTGAGCTAATACACTTATTTGATCGGGTTTAATGTCGATATACTTTAAAGTGGTGAATGTATACGGTTTGATTTCGAAAACGCAAACGGTACGTCTTAGACGTTGTGATACGCTAACATTACTAGAAATATTTTAAGTCTTCTCTCTTCCAAGATATCTTATTTTCATTTTCCACACTCCTACTGTTTATCTTAAAACAACATATCAATTTTATAACTCTATAACATGTAAATATACCTTGTTCTCACATACATATAATTGTACTTGTTATCAAGTCTACAAAACCAATTATCCAAGCAAGGAAAATTGGAGAGTTGTACGTTATGCGTTACTTGGAATAACAAATCACTTTCTAATTCCAATTTGCACGATGGATGGTTTGAGGGAATTTAAGTTAAAAAGTTATTTGTTATTCAAAATTAAACAAGAAATAAACCAAAAAAGATGCTGGTGCCCAACTATTGAAAGTTTCTACAGACATGTCCAATTTGACCTTACCACGAATCAAGATTACCGTACTTACTTTACTTGTTAATTAAGAAAAACAAAAACCTTAACATTACGTAGCTTTTGCTAACTAGGACATTGATTAATTTGGAAACTTACATCAAAAAACAATTACTTTCACTTGATACGCTTTAGTTTATATAAACCATTTTACAAATCGACATACAGAGTAAACAATAACGTTCAAAGAAAATAGCGTTTGGACTCGTGTTTATTGTTGATTTCGACATAAATACATCAACTGTGTTTCTTTTCTGACTACTTAGAAGATTTCAAACTATAAAAAGATTACAAAGCCAAAATAAAAAAACCGATATTAATTCTTTAGAAATGTTGACCATAAATTGAACCAAAAACAGGTGAAAATTCTAAATCTGAAAAAATGCAAAAACGTAAGCCTACATCTACAGTTGAAAGAAAACCTAAGTTGGTAAAGTAGACAAGTACACTGGAGTCATCAGAAACGTTAACCTGAGCTGTGAATCCGACTGAATATTGATTGAAATCTCGGATTAATACACGTATCATCATTAATATACATGTTGCCATAGTAATAAGTCGTAAATAGACATACTTATTTTGTTAATTATGTATAAAGTTCTAACATCTTCATTTGCTCAGTTTAAGGGTTACTTTTGGTAGTAATCATAATATAATCTAGTAAACTAATCTGAAACGGATCTTCAGAAATAATCAGCACTTAAAACAGTACCTATTAGCACCAACGAAAAGACGATACAACAGACGTCTCCAATATAGTCAAGTTATTTTTGTCTTGAAGAAGGCCAAACAAAATATGACGTGGATTGTGACGACATTATATTGTCTCTGAGCAAAGTTTTAAACATGCTTGTATTACATTGAAATGAACTCTCGAA